CGTTGATTTCAAATTTGCGTTTTTTATCTGCCAAGCTACTATCTGGGAGGAGTTACGAGGTTCAAATATGAAAAAATTTTCGGGTTTCGGCGAATGTATTTCCTTCAAAAGCAGCTTGATGGGGCGGATTTAGAGTGGGTCTGGGTACTCTGATTACAATGAAAAAGCACATTTACCGGAAGCCCAAATAAGTTTTTGAAACGTGTTTCGTGGAATATGTGTTACAGAACACTTGACAAATCGCACATTTAAACGCCCAAAACTTTGGCCGGATAGTCGTTTGGCAGGTAATAAACATATCCGAGATCAGCGTTTCAAGAAGAATCCGATGGCATATAGCTTGTATGGTATGGCTGGGTCAAGTTCTGATCATTTCTTGCTAAGCATATAGCAACAAATGCAGAATGCTGCATTCTAGTAAGAACAAATAATGAATGGAATTTATGAAAACTGTTGTGAATCACAAGAAGAAGGGTTGATCAAGAACCTATTTCAATAACTCGTATTCCTACCAGGAACTTGTCTAGCAGCATTGGGCTGTGTGAGCTGAAGTCTGAAATGTTTTCATTGACTTTGAAAGAAAAATGACTTTGAAAAAAGGCTATGGGGCGCCAGGGATAGGGATTATAGAAAAATTTGGAAGGCCTGTACAACTTATCGCTCTCGTTCAATAAGTCTATAGTAAAGGGTAGTAAATACACGGATAGTCAGACTGCTTGAAATTTGGAGCTACAGGATATGATAGCTTTCTTTTGATGAGTTCACCTCCGCAATGGGTATCTTACTGCAGGGAAAGTCACCTTACTAACAGGAAAAGTCACCTTACTTAGGTTGGGCTTTTGAATAGCGACATCTATAATTAGAATCAGCTTAAAACGCTGATTTTAAAACAACCATCCATAGCTGCGAAGCATTACTCTGAAGCGAGTTGTGAGCTTTTTCCTGAGTAAAGCTTGCGTATTGACCGACTTGCGGATGCTACGATATCATGGGAGACGACCAAGAGGCGCGTTCTCTAGAGATTACCAATTTAACAGCCCAATTTATTGCCATGCGAGTCTTTCAAGAATTTTTGACAAAGTGCTCTGGCATACTACCCATCTGAAGTTACCACTTGTTATGCTTGACGGCTTTGATAAAAATTTGATTGAAATATACACAAAATGCCATTAGTAGCATTTTCACGGGTTTTTGACCTCCAACACTTATCTTTTGAACCTATTCTAAAATGATAGGATTGAGCAACCCATGGGACAATCATATATATCTTTTTAAAAACTTGAACTCTCTAAGAACACCATAAATTACTAAGAATGCGCTGATTAGTGTCCATCGGGCAATAAAAAATCGCGCCTCTTGACTTATACGATATCATCATCTAGGCAGTGGTTCAAATGCATAATACACCCTAACAACGCCAAATGACTCAATTTAACGTTATTTCGATTTTCCACCATGTTTTTGAGCAGATTCCGATTCATCCACATTGTAATTCGCCTCAGAGAAACGCTTCGCAGCCAAGGACAGCATATTTGGAATCAGCGTTCCGAGCTGATTTCAAGCATATGTGCCTCATTTCAAAAGGCCGACTTGAGTTGAGTGACTTTTCTTGTATGATCAAGGATCAAGCCCAAGACGTTATAAATGACAATGCAGAGGCAGCGTCTAGAGTTTTGTCTGAAAAATGCAATGCTTCATTTGCGAAGCAAATTGTGCATCTTTAGCGAAATCTTTATACGAAAGAAAATTCAAGAATGAAAAGACCGTCTCCTGTATCATTTGTGGTTTGAATACATTTGGCAAGGCTATTCCCTCAACGCGATAGCGATCCTAAAATACAAAAAGAAATTCTGATGTTTTTGCTAAAGCGATGCCGTGCTGTACATAAGTAAACGTATACTACAAACCTCCTAAACTACGATTATAAAATTTCAACCCTCTACAATCTCTAGTTCAAAAAATATTGGATTTAGCGTGAAACAAATAAGGGAAGCTAGATCCGATATTTCTTGAAATTAGAGCCTGTAAAGAGCTGAAAATTCGCAGCTGTACTTTCAAGGTGTTTCGTATACATTTTCTCATATAGGAAGAAAGAGCAGCACAATCTCATCTCGCAAAAACATGAAAATTTACGTTTTCCCGATTTTTGAATTACTAAAAAATAGAACGGTATTTGTCAATCGCTAGTGCAGAGTGTACATGCACGAGTGAATGTGCTGGTAGGTTATAAACAAAGATAAATTTGTTAAAGCCTTCTAACATCCGCTCTTGGATTTTGGATCTTGAGTTGACTGTATTGAAGCTGACACGAACGAGGCGTCATTTCTTGCTTTGTTGCTCTTTCAATTGATCCCATTCAGAACCAACAATTGCATGACTTATTGCTTGAAGGATTTATAATGAAGAAGTTTGAGAAGCTCATAATGTATCGATATTGAATGACGCAAAGCACGCAGACCGAGGGTATAGCCGCTAAGGCACGGACATACTACGCGCGATTTCAGCTGTGAACAGCTTAGCGTAGGCGCATTCTGAACGCACAAGATAAAGGACATTTCATCGAACTATTAAAGCTATACGCGCTATGCATTTGTAGTCTGCCACTGTTGATTCGAAGACATTCGACGATTTGCCAAATTGCATGATGTGTGCTGGGGCTCAGTTGAGCAATCGCTCCAGAAATTGAATTTAAATTGAAAAAATTGCTTCAAAATTTATTGGAACGAGCTTACCTCTTCAATTAGCGTAGTTGTTTTGAAGCTATCCTAATTAGTCCGATGAGTTGCTTCAGAGTACTTAGCGTGAAAATTCATTTTCATGATGAAGTGCGATTTCTCAATGATCCTGAGTACCGTGGAGCTTCGTTTTGAGCTTTTTTGAGGCCACATTTCTGACGGTGTCACCTACACCACTACATCGAAAGCGATTTTCTTTTTTTTGAATTTTTTTTTGCAGCGGAATTGAGCGTATACTAGGAGAGGACCCTCTCATACAGTACCACAATACTGTGCGAGTTAAAGTTGAGCATGTTAAGGTCAGAAATGTTTACATAAAGTTACATGAATGGTCCGTCAGACATGGTCCATTGGATAGAATGAGAGTTACCCAGGTAATTCCCGCTCTCGAGGTGGCTCAAACTTTTGTAAGATCCATAGCTTCGTTTAGCGCAACAGGATGACCGCCACTTTTAACGATGCTGAAAAGCAGGATCTCGCAAATCTGGTAGCCCTCATCTCGGTAAACGAATTGCTTGGACTAATTTGTGAAGAGTGATTTTATTACCATTTCAGAGTTATGTAGATTCGGACCCGCTTAACTTTTCATTATAGTTATGGGGAACTGAAATAACTAAGATAGCATTCTTGGCTGGAACTGAAAGTTCTAAAAGTCTCCAGTTGACAATGATTATCAGTTGACTTTGTTCAACTATGCCATTATAAGATTTTCAGCGTAAATTGGAATAAAAGCTGCACATCTCTTCAAAATTGTCACAAAATTACGTATATCTGGTTCAAAATTTCCTCTGTGCATACACACATCTCAAATAACGCCGTGGGGGGGGCATGCGATTTACAAGCGCGCAAGGGAAAAATAGATCGCTCATTTCTTGCGGCCCGCTTGTAAAAATTTGGAAAAGTGTTGGCCATTCTTTATACGAAGAGGTTAGAGGACCATTGCTGCTTTTTGATATTTGCGGCGCAGCAGCCGCATTCTCGCGGAGTTTTAGCGAGAATATGCGAAATTGCTAAGGCCCGCACAGTTCTTTATGAAGGACCGGACATCCCGTTGGTACCTTTCACTGAGAGAGTACCCCAAACTTGGGCTCTTGAACAGCAGTGACACCTTTGTCATTCGGAGTGCTACCTTTGTACGGCGTACACCCGAGAGTTACCCGTTTCGAGCGTTCGCTGTAGGTTTGTAATTCTAAATTGCTGCCCACTTGCAGAACATGCGACAGTGATGGAAGTACCGCTCGCTGAAGTTTTGGCTAAATTTTGGCTGATAGCTTGCAAGGAAGCTCGAGTTCGCGCCAAAGGCGCCGTCGACCTTAAGCTGAAGGTCTTGAGCTTTTGACAGCATAATAGTAACAGGGTCCCCTGTCAAGCTAATGCTTGAGTTGGAGCGCAAAATGTTGCCTCGAAAGCGAGAAAATCGCTCCAGAATAACAAAGATGCACGAGAACCTCTAGACGGCACCATCCTTCCTATCCAAGTCTCCCATCCCGTGCGCCCGTATTCATAGATACATTTGCTGGATTTCCGAGGTGGAAAAATTAAACATAAATAGCCAGAAATAATAAGCCCGAATAATCAACTTATTGGTAGATACGAAAACAAAAATGCTTAGCACGAATTTTTAGATATCTCCGTAACAAAAAAAATCTTCAAATCTCAAAACCGAGTTTCGATCACTTCAAACACAACTGCAGGCTGTCAGTACCGAAATATACTATGTTTGGTAAGAGATTGTAACAGATTGCTTTCGCTACCATGATTGAAGACAACTAGAGCTTTTACAAGAGTAAATTCGTTTTATCACACATTGAGCTGTGCACACGTAAATTTGATTACGGATTTATTTCTAACTTACATATGCATAATTTTAATGAATTTCTTCAACTTCATATACATTGGTAATCTCAGAAAGCCATCTACATACACAACTCATTCTGAATGAATTAAAAAACAATCTTTTACATAAGGTCTGTAAAATGATGTCAAGATTATGAAAGGCATAATTGTTTGAACAAAAAACGAAATAATTGAGTAAAACCTTCGGATATGTCCAGATAACTACATGTAGAGGTAGGTACTATACCGAGATGAAGAAACTCAACAGACTTGTTTTGTTAGATTCGGATTATAGAAAGTATCACATTTTGAGGAACCGCTTAATGTCAATCACGGAAGATTAAAGAATGTGGTTCAAAGAAATTTTCTTGACATTAAGTAGAAGAAGCGGTACCGAATAAGAAACTGTAAGAAACTGTGCATCATTTTCTACCCAGTTGTAGGCAAAAGTCTAGCTTCAGAAATGGAATCTACCGAGCGCAGAAGTGCCAACAGCTGAGCTTCAACATTCAGATAGAAACTCGATGACCTCAGTCTGACGGAGTTTCTGTTGAATATTATGCACATTCGAAGCAGAGCAAGACTTCCTGATGTCTGCTTGTCCCAGTGACCCTCTGACTGAAAAAAAGCTAAAAATTTGAGTCTGAAAATCTGATAAATCCTGATTTTTTACAAGATTCAAAGTTCTGGCTAAAGTTGGACATTCATCCAAAAACTCTTGACACGTAGAACTGAGATGGCCTTTCTCACAAACTTTCGCAGGGGCTAAGATAGGCACACGGTAGGAAAAGGAATAGGAAGAGCAGCTAATTCCTATAAAGTCAAGCAAAATATAGGCGATTCATCGCACGCAGAGACTGGACGACATTGCGTCTGATAAAATAGTACGCATTTGGGAGAGACAGCAGACGGCTGGGGTGGTTAAAGAGCGCTCAATGTGAGGGACAGACAATGTTTTTTCTTAGCTATCCCACAGTGCGCAGGAGAAAATGGCTGATAGCGAGATTTAACAGCAACTTGGCGGTTAGTCCTACAAAAAATAAAACATGCATATTTTTCAAAAGAAGAGTGGTACTTTTGTGACCATACCTCTTCTGCCTAGGAAAAGCAACCAGCACAAAAGTGAAGCCTAACGAGGCTAGTATGGCAATGGTAGCCAGTAACAACATGGTCGCAGGCACAAGATTTTCACCCAGCTGCATTAGGATCGAAGCCGAAAAGGGAGAGAGTTGTTCTGGCATCTGCAATATTTAAAATTATTACTACTAGGAAAAATAGTATTCATTATGGGAATGATCACAACAGGGGTGAGTATTAAATGACTACCAAACTTGGGGTCATAGTGGTGGGTGACTGGCCAGGTCATTCTTTATGATGCATACAAAGAAGTTAATGGTTTGCAGGTGTGGGATGGGAGAAGACTAAATAAGTGTAAAGTTTCAAAAAAAATTCGAATCTCACATTTCTAGTTAGTTATACAGTGGAATTTTACTTTGAAATCACTTTTCAATATTACATGGAGTCAAATCCATAGGTAACAACTACAGTCCCGCAGATTCCTGCTGAAGTATATGGTGCAACTGCGGTGGTGGCAACATTTGATCGTGAATTTGGATAAGGGCGCAAATATGAAAAAAATAAAGTAAAAAATTTAAAAAAATGAAAAATAAAGTTCGGTGAAAATCAAATAAATCATTAAGATCAAATCATTAGCATGGCAGTTTGTCAACCCGTAACTGCTGTCAGCACAGCGGAGCCACCATATGAAATGCAGGAATGTGTTAGATTGCAGAAAAGCGAAGAATAATGATATTTAGCAGATACACAACAAGTTATAGAAAATCCTAGACTAACCCTTTGTTCAACGATGGTTACATCAGATGGATCAGGGCACCATGGATATCTGCCAGTATGCTTTTGCACAGCAACCGTGACGTTGAAGCACTTGGCTCGAATCTCTACTAACTTTTTACCCAACTCTTCTTCCGGCATCGCAATACTAGTCATATCCCGATGACGTCAATCCGGCCCTGTAAGATTAGGTCATCGCACCATAACTTCCTCCACCAACAGAGGGTTTCATTGCGCAACCACAGCTGACGTGGATTACGGGTAGCAGTGATTAATGGTTCATGCGAAAACTCACAATTGTTTCGATGACTTCCTCTTGGAAGACACGGATAGAAGCTGTTTGATCACATACACGCGGGAAGCCATAGGTGGAATTGGTGCCGACAACTTGGCACGAGAGTGCCAAACCTTGTGGTTCACCCCTTGCCCAGTGAGAGACGAATGCGCGCGAGGCTTCCTTAAAAATCTAAAAAGAAAAAGGGGCTCCATGAAATCTAGAAATATTCTTGTACGATTTTTTTCTAAACAAAGTGTAGTTCACAGCTGTTGTGTCCAAGTGAATGAGCCAAATTACAAAGTAGTATCTTGCTTAGATTGCTACTTTTTCGAGAAAAACTAAATTTTTGGTGGATATTCGTTGTTTGGACTTTGACTTTGTATGGTCCTTATCTTTGACATAAAGACAGAATTACAAATGCGCACTATTTTTATGGAGCAAAAAAATTCCGGCTGTTCTTAATTTGAATCTTTTGCTATTTATTAGGTTGAAACTCTCTCGTAAAACTGAAAAAACTTGTTTGAACCCATTGAAGAGCCTGGTCTGGTACATCGTGATATGCTCTTATTTTTGAGTAAGTTTCCCATAACTTTTGATTAGAATGTCGGAAACGAATTCAAATCAAGTCTTTGTAGATTTCCTCCGATAAATTTCTCGTTTCTTCTAATTAGACCTTAAAAGTAAAGTCAAAACTCAGTGCTCGCAACCTTCACGCATTTTTTGCGACCACTACAATTTTCCATTAACTACCCCGAGATTTTGATTCCTTCTTTCAAATTCGATCAAATTGAGTGACTTTATTGGAACTGGAGATTATCACATTTCCAGGGATTTTTGATGCTGGATATAGGTTTCAGGCAAGTTACTTGAATTTGTGCAGAGCAAAAAAATCTGGCTTTAGTGTAGAACATTGGTCATCTCATAAGCGAGGAATATTATGATGAAGAAACTATTTTTTATTTTTTCAAGTTAGTAAAAGCTTTAAGAATATAAAGCAACCTAGCTCTATGTTTTGGCTCAGCAGTGAGCCTAACTTGGGTTTTGTACTACTGAATTTGCTCCTTGCCTTACGATCTTTTAGCAAATAATGGCTTTAAACGGCTCGAATGCAGATTTGAAATTAGCGTTTTATCTTACATCTAATGGTAAGCACTTGTAGGACTGTCCGCTTTAATTTCTGAACATTCCCTTGTCGAGTGTTGATGGTCCTGGCTACTCTCAGCCTTGCAACTTTCTAACAAGTAAAAGTCCACACTTTCCTTTCCAGAAATTCTGCGGAGAGGATGACAGATTTGAAGTAGCGCTTCAACCTTGTAAAAGAAACCATTTCGTAAGAGGTACCACTTCGACTTCGCAACCTTCCCTTGTAAGAACTATAATACCTTTTGACCTAACTACCCCACACTGGGGCAAAATTACTTTTACTGATAGTAAAAAATTTTGAATGTCTGATATGTGATACCCTTAGAAAATCGTAAGTAGAATACAACAAGCAAATCGTTTATGGTGACTTGCAAGAAAAAACGAAAAGCCAACCCAACATATGTTTTAAGTGGGTCCAAAAGTTTCGTTCCTTAGACCTAATCTGAAATCGTTCAGAAAGGTGATAAACAAATCCTTCAAACACTATCCAAAGCAGAATTTCTTCCTCTTCCCAGCAGCTTTGTTTCCGTTCTGACGGTTTCGACGAGCGCTGAGGACGAAAACTAGAAACCTCCATCTTTATCATATTTAACTTTCGCTAATTTTCAAAATTTTTATTTTAGACTCTTAAAATGCTCTAATAAACACCTGATGGGGCGAACCTTTTGCAAATTAATGACTTTTTGCATCTCCCTGGCATGCTTTCGGAAATTATATTTTCTAAAGTGACCTCATACTTGGCTCATTCTAACTTCGCAAAACATCAGGGCCGGTAGTAATCCCCCCAACTTGGCGGCAGGTCTCGTCGGCAGGTCGCTGGCACCTTTTACGTGAGGTGGCCAGAAAGTGAAACTCCAAACTTATCCCGTCCCAGGCCTTTTTCCACAAAATTTTCTCGATAAAGGTGTCGCCTCGACTCTATAGAAAACCCCATAGAAATTTGCGGTTTCAGAACTCCTGCTTCAGGAAAATATATGGAAGGGTAAGGGGAGCTGCCGGCAACTTTGCGATGTTAGTTGCCGGCAATCTGCCGGCAGCTCGTCGAAATCCGCGAGATGGCAGCTGCCGGCGGGTCAGAGAGCACGGAAAATAGCCTGCTCTTTTGAGAGAGGGAGCTGCCGGCATCTCGACGTGCCCCTACCACGTCGAGGTGGTGGCACCTTTGCCGACGGCGTCTGTGAGTTTGGGTATTGCGGAATATCACACAATTTACGTCAAGCCGATGGACTAGAAAAATTTATCTTCTATCAAAAACAATCATTTTTGTCATTGTATGGGTTTTTCCTCGTTTAAATTCTTTATATATCTGTAGGAAAAATGAATAATAATATTACAAGACGAGAAATAACGCCATCTTCTTCTTGCAATTCCTTTGAACCTTGTTTGCAGTTTTCGCCTCCCTCTCGCTCATATCAATCAGCTGTTCTTTCAGGTCAAAGTCTCTCATGCAATGTATCGATCCCTCTTAGGGCCGCATGCACTAACCTCCGCGCTGGGGAGGGGATCGCAGCTTAAAAGAAAGCTTTATATTTCGAAACTCCAGATACCTGGGTTTGACGTTGTATACCTATTCGTAAGTATTCCTACTACCCTTCACTATGAACATGTTGAAGAGGAGCGAAAAGCTGCACGAACCGCATTTCCAGCTGTTGTATGATCCCTGATGATCCCCGGCGCTTTTCTTTAGAGTCATTTTTCTTTCTCCGAAGTTAACGAAAACTTTCCAAAGCTGTACTGAACATCTAGCACAACAGTGCTAAGCATGTTGCTGATGAGAACAAATGAGTTTTTGACAAGTCGAATTGTTCGGTAAACCTCAAATTTCGACCTGTGGATCATCGAAAATTCCATGACTTCAAAACATCATTTATTCATATCACGAACATGCTTAGCACTGTCGGGTTGGATAATCTGCACAACTTTGGAGGTTTTTCGTTAACTTCGGAGAAAGAAAAATGACTCTAAAGAAAAGCGCTGGGGATCATCAGGGATCATACAAAAGCTGGAAAATGTGGTTCGTACAGAATCTCGCTCCTGTTCAACATGTACATAGTGAAGGGTAATAGGAACACTTACGGAAAGGTACAAAACGTGAAATCCAGACATCTGGAGTTTCAAAATATAAAGCTTTCTCTTAAGCTGCGATCCCCTCTCCCAGGGATGTTAGTGCATGCGGCCCTTATAGGCGGCCACTTACCAGTGCGTTCCTCCTATTGCTGGAGCAAACGGCGATAGCTGACCGAGTGGTCGAATGGTTAACGGGTGGCACTTAAAGTCAACGTGCTTAGGTTCGACCGCACGCGAGGTAGCAGTTTTGCGGCTGTCTGCGTCATCAAAATCTAATGTGCGAAATGATTGCGTACAAAGGTTATGCAAGATTATTATCATAGCCTATTAGCCTACAATCACTCCGCGACTGCCGGCAGTTGATGCCGGAGTTGGCATCTTTCCGCGATGTGTGCCAACTTGCCGGCATCTATGATGCCACCAGGTAGGGTAGATTACTACCGGCCCAGACATTGAACAATTTGGGTACCATTGGATGCATCTTCTTCTTCTTCTGACAGCTACCTTTTCTTCGCGAAGCAGGCAACTTTTGCAGACAAATTCGCTGTACTTCCCAGTTTCACGGGTGCGCTAGATTGGAGTCGAAATATCAAAATCTATCCATTTTGACGCCGCAGTTACTCATTTACTTCGCAATACTAGTGATAGTAATAACCAGGTTTTAGGATTTCATTATTTTGAGGATTTCGCAGTGTTCGCAGTGTTTGGCGCATTTATGTGTTACATGACTTTTTCAAAATTCAATGTTCTAATAAAATAATTCAGCAAACTTCTAAAGAGGAAGCTGAATAGAGGCAAAAAATTGCATTAATTCGAGAAAGGTTTGCCTTTTGGGTGGTTATAACAACACCTTCAAAAGACTAAAATGAAAATATTGAGGATTAGCAAAGTTTGGACATGGTAAAAATGAACTGTTCTAGTTTTCGGCAATTATCTCAGCGCTCGTAGAGTCACGATGAAAACATAGCTGTTGGAAAGAGGAAGAATCTCTGTACTGGATACTTTCAGAATGATTTGATCTTTATTTTGAACTTAAAATTGTTCTGAAAACGGCACGAACTTTCGGGCCCACTTAATATTATACTTTTACTTTTTGCCACCTTGTAATAAACATTCATCGGTAGGACCTTCTCTTAGATACTCGCTTCTTTTAAACGGCGACAGCAGCAGGATCTGTTTCTTTACACTATGGCAGTATAAGGTGATCCTTTAGAAAAAAGAATGCTTTCCTTTGTACATAAACTCCTTCTCCTGCACTGCTATATGCAAGCAATAGAATTTCCTACTTCCACTGGGAAGATAGATCTTTTCGAAAATGTTGGGCTGAACGAAAAAAGTTCGTTTTGGCATGCTAACCTTTAAAGAAATTGTTGTTTTCTACCCATAATTATTGTAGAAAGGTCGTCTAAAGCTTCTTCTGTTACATATCAAATATTCAGGAGTTTTTATAATCAGCAAAGAGAGTCATGCTTAAACATTGCTTAATTTTTCGTGTTCATGCTGCAATGGATGTAGAAAACAGCAGTTTGGTATTTGGATAAGGGGAGTTTTTTCTATTTAGTAAGAATGAAAAGTCTGATTTGCCACTTCAAGAATCCCTTATCAAAAAAAAAAACAATTGAAATTCCTCAAATTTGCGCACTATGAGAAGACAGCAATTTCTCAGTTTTCTGCGGATTTCTTTACCTTGGAAGATAAGCTTTAATCAAACAAAATTCATATCCAGTGTCCATTGAAGTGCTTTAGTGATGCCAAACAAAGTCGCAAAAGTAACCGAACTTATTTATTAGCCAACCTAATATAAGGTATCATCCTCTACCTAATACTGATCAGGCACATTCATTTGCCTTAAAACAGCCCCGGGCGACAATGTACGCCTTCGATGCCACTTGAATTTTTCAAAAATAAAAAAGAAAATCAAAGCATCTCCTCCGATGCAGCACAGTCATCAAAAGACTACAGCATCAAACTAGTTACGCCACAATTTGAAACTTTAAAGGACAACGTTCGAGAAGTCTCGAACGCATATTGATAGTACTTATTCAAACTTAAATCTAAAAAAATCATCATCAAATTCGATGAAGAATGGACACTCTCCAGAATTCAAACTACGAAGAAGATCACTCGAGGAATATGTCAAGAATTGTTGGTGCCAAATCTTCATTGTTGACGCCGTAAAAATTTGAAAAGCTTGATTGTTACATGGGTGATAAGGACTACAGGGGAACGAACTCTGCCAGCTTGGGAGTCTTCGCTGGCAACCGGTCATTTTGCAATGTTGTTGTAGATGGTATAGGACCAGTAGTCCGCGAAGACGATTCAAACTGGCAGAGTTCGTTCCTCTACCCGAGAAAGCTGGCATTTTGTTTTCTCCAAGGGTGGTTTTTATTTCAAGTAGAGCAGATCCCAGGTACGCAAAATATCTTTAGCTTGATACTTTGCCGGACTCTGTCTTTAAGATTATTGAAAAAAAAACGGGACCCAAGAGAAGAGGATTTTGGATAAAGATGTAGACTAGCTTATCTCTAGTAAGGTTTACATTTGGAAAAGATCATACCCCTTAAACCCAAAATTAAAGACTTCGAAGTCTGGTTTGTTCGATGCACAGACTTCAACATACCAAATATGAGAAACGTACTCAATTTACGTCTCAAGGCTTTTTGTCATGTTACTATAGGTATAAAGTAGACTAAAGAGGTGGACTAGTTCATCTCCAATAGGTCTAGCATTTTCTGTCGCCTACCTTTCCGATATTCTCCGAGCGCCACTGCCTTATCTATCTGTCATTTCTGCTTTATTCCTTCAACATGAGCAATTCCTATCGGGAACCGGCACTACACCAAAAACAGTTCTCTCAAAATCACATGTTCAAAGAAAATTTTGAACAGCAGATACTACTTTAACCATGGAGGTAGTTTTGACCCTGTCAATATACCGTTTGCATTAAGTCTAACGAGCCACCACATTGTAAATGAAGCATGCGACAACGACTAATTTCAAGACAATGTATGTGCAAAGGGATTTCATACAACACGTCGGATTTAAATTAGTTCGTCAAAAGAGTGCCTAGATTCTAACTGTTAGTAATTCATCTGGCCATAGATACATAGTTAAAATCTATGTCTTTCAAATGTTCGCAGCAGAGGGCTGACCGGTTCTTGTAGGGCTAACTCGGCCTGCATAATAGCTTATACGCTGAAAATTCTCACGAAGCATTTTAATGTCGATCGTTCATACGATTTGACGAAAATTCTCTGAATTCTTCAGAATTTGTGGAGCTTTGATCTGAAACCAATGTAAATAATCTGGATAAAAACTTTAGATTTTATTAAAGTAGCGGAATGCCTCTGAAGCATTATCTAAGTACTAAAATTGATAGAGATTCAAAAACGTACTTGTAAACCCATGAAACTTAAATTCGAAAATTTACTCCGCGGCACTCTTGTCGCGACAGCTCAAATGCATTTTTGTGATTTTGACATATGTTCTAAATTGCTAAATTTCAAAAGTCTAATAATGTGCCCAGTTTTTTCTAAAAACCGCTCAAAAAATTTATAGTGACGATTTGCGACGATATTGACGGAAAAATGCATTAGTTTTTTCTCAAAAGTTGAGAACCCAATCGTATATAATGGAAATAGGCAAGACAAAGTTTTGCAAATGTTTCGTTTAGTTTCTGTTAAATAAAAAGACATAATCAAGATTATTCATTTCTGCGCTTCTCTTGCAAGACGCCAATCTCAAATTAGACTTCATGTTTCTTTTCATTTCAGTACGGGTCACTTTTCATTACCAGCACGGTGGTTTATTCGTTTGTCGAACTTCATTATTTGCAGTTTTTCCTCAAAGGCACATTTCATTCCTTAATTTGTCAGTTTAGAACCTGTTCAATTACCTATGCAAAAATTCGGAGCTTTTTACCTTTGCTGCGAATAATTATTCATGCCCAGTGCTTGTTTCGAAAGCCGACATACCTCAACCTAGCATTTGTTTTTATTTTTAATGTAGCTCCTCAGAAAAAGGTTACAATGACTGTTCAATCGGATAAAGTGTAGTGATTAATGTGTACATGCAGAAAGAAAAAGACGACATTGCGAAATAAAACCGTGCCGGGTTCTCAGGACTGAAGGAGACACTTTGATATACTCTAATTTCAAGCGTACAAGGCCTTTTTCGTTGTTATAGGCAAGCCGCTCAACCGCTGTTTTTGGGAAAGAAATCCTTGTGCCGTAGGGTTTTCTGAGGTATTATGCAGCACGGTATAAGGCCCTTTGGTCGCGTAGTCTTTTCTGCTTAGTTGCTCGATTATAGAATCCCCCCCCCCTCCAGCTTTGTACGCGTGAAAACTAAGGTCATTAAATAATGCCTCGTTTGTCTTAGAACGTTTTTCTTTTTTCCTACTGCTTTCAGAGTCTCGTTGCTGTTTCCTTTTCCAAGGTGCCACTCTTTGAAATGCGTTTCATGTCTCATGCATAAGTAGTTGGCAGGATTCCGTTTGTTTTTGTTATAAGAGTGCTTTCCTCAGCCGCGCAAAATCATAAGCTAATCCTGATTGCACGATAACAAATGCCTTAAAAAGTTGGTATTATCTCTGCAATAGAAATAACGAGGTGTTGAACCAGTGTCGGAAAGTCGCAAAAGAGTTGAAAAGTCAGCTACCTGGAATTCAACAGCGGGGCAGTCTAAAAGCAATAAAAATGTGCGTAGAAGCTGCCCATCAGAGCGGGCGATTATTAGTCCGGATAGTTGAGAGATTATGCACACTCTAAACATATCAAAAATGCGTTAGCATTACTTCAATTTGTGCAAAAATTGTTTTCCATGCCGAAGTATTTTTGAGAGTAGAAAGTGTCAAAGCGGCATCAGACAAAAGGCACTCTTGTCATAACCTTGAAATGTGAAAAAGAGGTTTCAGTCGCTACGTTTCAGTCGCCGTTCACAAATCAACCATATATATCAAAAATAGAAAAGTTGACGTTCCTAACATTGAACACTCCCACTTTGTCTGCCATTTTCTATTTTGTCTCAGCGCGCAAAGGTAAGCGATCAGGCCTTCCAGACGCAAGAAGATCGGGATGAACTGGAGGTAGGTTTGTCTAATCTTGTTTGTTGACTAAAAGGTTTGCCATAGGATACTTTTGGCATTAATACTAGTGCTTGTGAAAGGCACTGTGGCCATGGTGGGCATGCCAGATGACTTTGTTGAACCAAATGAAGATGATTTCAAAAGAGTGTATGTAGACGTGGGTGCATGGTTTTTCACAGTCGCTGGAAAAACAAGCTCAGCTTCAAGACGATTTGTTGTAGATGATTTCACTTACGCCTTTCGATCCTTCTCCATATTCAGCGAAACAGCAGGAATGTCGTAGATTGAACAGCGTAAAAATCCTGCCCGCAGGATTGACGGCGAGATCTCTATTCATGAGTTGTTGATGTTTCTAAAATGTGTATTTAGGAAGATCTTCTCTGTCAGCATATTATTCGCTTCTTCAGATGGCAGATGGTACAATTATCGCACGTCAGCGAAAAGGTTTGTTTCAGAGCTTTATAATGTGTTTCTTGACTGTTTGATAAGCAGAACTTGTAGTACTCTTTAATTTAACGGCTGAAAGGCAACTGCTCGCATTTGCTACGCAGTCTGCGTCTCTCGCGCGCCCGTGCTCGCTGACCATGTCCTAGCCTTTAAAGCCCCTCCTTCCAGCCGCCAATCCTCTTGAATCAAAGTAGAATCTTATAGTGCATTCATTGTGCTACAAATTTTTGGAGAAAGCTGCTTCTCATTAACTCGGTAGCTCGCAAGCAATTTAGGTTGACGGGCCGCGTGCATCAACATCCCCCGCCCCACTGTTAACCCAAAACGCAGTTCAAATGAAGTGCACATCTCCAAGTTCCACTGAATGGGATTTTCGTGTGCTCTAACCACTCGCAAGTATCCCACTACCCTCTCTATAACCATATTGAACAGGAGCAAAAAGTTGTATACGCCGCATTTCCCAACCTTTCGTGATCCCTGATGCTCCCCAAAACCAACAGTGCTAACAAGGGAAAGTTCCCAGTCAGCTCGGCCAACCCGGATGAGTCATATATAACCGAACGGGCTTGAAACGCTGATTCCAAATCTGCTTTCCTTTTCTGCGGAGCAACATTCCGAGGGAAGTTATGAGCGTTTAAATGTTTAGATTTGTCATGTTCAAAGTGGCTTAAAATCAGTTGAAAGCTGTAAAACAACACCTAACCGAATTTCATTATCTGTGTTCCGTCCTTGTAATCAATATATTTGATACAAAACTGATGAATCACTTTTATGTGTTATTGTACAGGTTTCGCCAATTTTAAGCCACTTAAAAAACATGACAAATCTAGACTTTCAAACGCTCATAACTTTTTCCGGAAAGTCGCTCCGCAGAAAAGGAAAGCAGATTTAGAATCAGCGTTTCAAGCCCGTTACGGTGATATATGACTCATCCGGGTTGGCCGAGCTGACTTGGGAACTCTCCCTCGTAAGCATGCTTCTAATGAGATAAGGGTAAATAATGTATCAGAGTCATGAAAACTGCGATGAACCACAAGCGAAAGTTGGGTTGATCGGAAACCCCAACATTCTAATGACTCATACTTTCACAGAAATTTGATTAACCGCACTGGGTCAGATAATCAGCAGGCTCTGGAATTTTTTTTAATCAACTTCGAAGGATTAATGGCTTTGAAAAGGTATCGGTGGGAAGCCGGGATTATCAGGGATCATAGATGAAACTAGAAAAGCGGCTTGTACTTTTTTCCTCCCGTTCAATAAGTTTTGTAGAAAAAGGGGTAGTGAAAGCACTTACCTATCAGATTGCCTTCAATTTAGAAGCGAAAGCTTTAGGATGATATTTTTTGTGCTGCGTTTACCTCCTCTGCGGGTATAATCACTGCGTGCGGATTCAAATAACCAAATCCAGAATAGATGACATTACAAAAGCAATGCAAAAGTTGGCATCTATAGAAACATGGAATACAATGGTTTGTTCTAAAGGAAGATTAATGCTTTTAGTGAAATTTACATATGATGGAAAATGCATGAGTGACCATCTTCCGCATCAATATTGTGTTTTGAATATATTTGGCAAGGATATTCGCATAGCCCGATGGTGATGCTACAAATCAAAAAAAGAACAAAAATTCTTTTTTACCAAGGCATGCTGTGCTGTTTCCACATAAGTATATGTATACTAGAAACCTCTTAAGCTACGATTATAAAATCTCAACCCTCTACAATTACTATTTTGGAGAAATATTGGTTTTAGCATGAAACAAGTAAAGGAAGCTTCCAATATTTCTTGGAAATAAAAGATTGTAGAAAGCTGAAAGTTCGCAGCTGTACTTTGAAGGCGTTTCGTATATATTTTCTCATAGGGAAAAAGGAGCAGCACAATCTCGTTCTGCAAAAATATGAAAAACGTTTTCTCGATTTTTATAGTAGCTTGCGAAAAAACATAATGTTATCGATCTTTGTGCAAAATGTATATGCGCGCGGGAATGTACCGGTAAGGTATCGTCGATTCGTTGACCGCATGAACTTTTGAAACGCTGCGGAGCAGTGCGGCGCGGTTAGATTGTTGCGAGAGCACGACTTGTACAATGGCGACTTTGTACTAAGACAAACGTTTTACCTTGCGGTGCGTGCTTTCACTGTTGTCCAATCCATGCAGTCAACGAATCTTATAGATAAAGCTGAATGTCTGTTTGTATGTCTGTCTGGGTGTACGTATGTACCAAATGGAAAATTCCATGACCGATCCAGACCAAACATAGTATACACACATTTCGGGCCCCGGCGGGTCATAGACTACTTTTCGTCACCGATCGATATCAATTTTATCGATTTTTATAAATTTTGACGTGCGGGGCTGGGAGTTTGCACTGAGGGGTAATCGAGCATGCTGATTACGAATACAATATTAGTTTTCAGAATTATCGATTAGTTTTATCGATTTTACGATTTTTTCGCAAAATCTGTGCTACGGGGCTGTGAGTTGGCAAAAAGGGGGGGGGGTGATCGAGCATGCTGATTACGAATACAATATTAATTTTCAAAATTATCCATTAATTTGTTCAATTTTAACGATTTTTTTGCGAAGTTTGAGCTACGGGGCTGGAGGTTGATGAGGAAAGTAGGTGAGCATACTGATTACTAACACAGCGGGAATAGGGAATTTCAAGTAAAAGTGGGAACAGGGAAAGGTTGCAACGGGGAAAGGGATAGAACCTTTACGTTTTGACAGAACCGGGCGAAGCCGGGTAAGCCAGCTAGTCAACTATACTTTGAGACGAGAATGACTTTCTCCCAAACCTTTTAGATCCTCTCTTGGCTTTTGGTTTTGAAGCTGAGGTATGTTGAAGCTGGCGCGAATGAGAAGTCATCCGTTGAGCTTCTCTGCTTTTTCAACTTGATCCATTGAATGATTCATCGCTAGAGGAATTCAAAAATTTCAAATTGGGAAGTGAGAAGCTTATATATTATCGACATAAATGACGCAAAGCCTTCCACACAAACTGAGGGTGTTAAGCTTCTGATGCTGTACAACCGAGCCCTCAAAGGCAGCGTTCAGGCAAGCACAAGGCTTTGGCATGGGAATGCATATGGGAATCCCACGTGGTTAGTAATTTGAGCCCTAACTGAGCCATTGCCCAACTGACAGCTCAGGTAGTGCTTCAACGGCTGAGGTATTCTCTTGAGACTGGACCCCAGGACCGTATTTCGCATGGACTCATGGCGCGACGCGCGAATCCTCGCGCGAAACTGCCACGAATTCATGCGAATACGATCCTGAGGTCCAATTTGGAGGCGTATATCTCAGCCGTTAGTGAGTCATTTGCACTGCTCTTGGGCAGTGCTTTAGTTAGGGCCCTAAAATTACTTTCCATGTGTAATCGCCATACGTCCAGTTCTGCCTTGACACTGCATTTAACGACACACTACGCGCGAGTTCGGCAACAGCTCAGCGTAAGCGCATTCTAAACACACAAAATAAAGGACATTTCATCGATCTAAAAGGGTTATACACGCTATGCATTTGTAGCCTGCCAGTGTTGGATTCGAAGACAATCGACGAATTGCCAAATCGCATGATATGTGCTTGGGGCTTAATCAAGCAATCGCTCAAATCCCACTGCAGAAAATGAATTTTGAAATGAAAAAATTGCTTCAAAATGTATTGGAATAGAGTTTCACCGCTACAATCAGCGTAGTTGTTTTGAAGCTATTATAATTAGTTCGAAGCGCTGCTTTAAAGTCCCTAGCGTGAAAAGTCCTTTTATGATGAAACGCGATTTTTCAATGATCTTTTGTACTATAGAGCTTCGTTTTGAGCTTTCTATTTGAGGCACCCACATTCATTACGGTGTCACCTGCACCACTTCTACATGAAAAACGATTTTTTTTGAATTTTTTTTGCAGCGGGATTGAGCGTTTACTTAGGTGAGGAACCAGTTCTCATACAGTACCACAATACTGTGCGAGTTAAAGTTGAGCATGTTAAGGTCAGAAATGTTTACATAAAGTTACATGAATGGTCCGTCAGACATCATCCATTAGATATAATGAGAGTGACACAGGTAATTTTCGCATTCAACGTGGCTCAAACTTTTGTAAGATCCATAGCTTCGTTTAGCGCAACAGGATGACCGCCACTTTTAACGATGCTGAAAAACACAGCCTCGCAAATCTGGTAGCCCTCATCTCGGTGAACGAATTGCTTGGACTCATTTGTGAAGAACAATTTTATTACCATTTCAGAGTTATGTGGATTCGGACCCGGTTCTCAGAGCCCATCGTGAAAGATGTAAAGCTTTTCAGTTCAGTTATGGGGAGCTGAAATAACTAAGATAGCATTCTTGGCTGAAACTGGAAGTTCTAAAAGTCTCCAATTCACAAATGTTATCAACTGACTTTGTTTATCTATGCCATTATATGGTTTCAGCGTAAATCGGAATAAAGGTTGCACGTCTCTTCAAACGAAGTTGTCACGAAAGTATGTACCTGGTTCAAAATTTCCTCTGTGCAACACGCATTCTCAAATAATCGCCGGGGTGGCGGCCATGCGATTTATAAGCGGGCACCGGAAAAATAGATCGCTCATTTCTTGCAGTCCGTTTGTGAAAATTTGGAAAAATCTTGGCTGTTATTTAGACGAACGTTCAGAGGACCATTGCTGCTTTTTTCATAGATTACTTGCGGCGCAGAGTCACATTCTCGTTTACTTTTCGCCAGAATATGCAAAATCGTTAGGGGACCGCACGGTCATTTGTGAAGGACCTCACATTCCTTTGTACCTTTCACTGAGAGAGTACCCGAAACTTGGGTCTTGAACAGCAGTGACACCTTTGCCATTCGGAGTGCTACCTTTGTACGGCGTACACCCGAAAGTTACCCGTTCCGAGCGTTCGCTGAAAGTTTGTAATTCTGTTTACTGCCCGTTGGCAGAACATGCGACAGTGAAGGAAGTACCGCTCGCTAAAGTTTCGGCTACATTTTGGCTGATCGCTTGCAAGAAAGCTCGAGTACGCGGCGCACCTGCCTCGGCGATTTTCTTAATTAAAGGCAGCGTTTATTAAAAATCCATCCCACCCAAGTAAGCACATAGTTATAAAGCGGAGCTCAGGAGTATCCGATCTGCGTTGGTCCAATTCTTTGACGTGGCCTCTGAAAGGAGTTACGGGCCTGTGAAGTGTCACAGACCGCCCCTCGCATCACACACCTCCCCCTGAGGACGAGTACTCACACAAGTGCTCAGCTCCTCTCCGCTGGCAAGCCGAGGAAGATGAACAATCCGAAACTCGTCTGCGCATTCAAAGCAGGATCCCTAGAAATCGGGGTTTTTAAAGGTACTGAACAGTTTGAACTTTATAAGTTGTGATTAAGATTACGGAAAGTTCCCCGTATGACAAAAACATGGGAGGCGAAATTTTGGGTGGAGCTATGTTGAAGGTGTTGTTTGTATCAAACGAGCTATGTAGATTGCCGCTAGCTTCAAATAATAGGAACTTATTGAAGTATTAGGTTGCCCCGAAATAAACAATTTTTCAAATGGATTACACTGCTTTTTTTCTAGCAGACTTTGAGTACTGTTCGATAGAGCAAAGCAAGCTCTCGAAGTTGCCCCAAAAATCCACTTAAGTAGTAATCTAGATAAAGTTAGCACGAAAAACTAAAATCTCCAAAGTACCCTTCTCCTTCTAAGAAACCTCATGAATCTTCGATACAGTGGAACACGGATACATGCTGGATTTCCGGGCTGAAAAATAGAACCTAGCATGAAAATGCAAAATTGTCACATTTTTCGTTTTTTCTATGTCAAACCTGATCTTACCAAATAGAGCACATACAAGGGTATTTTTTAACTATATCCACTACGGCTTGCAGAAATCCCATGTGTGGGAGAGAGACGGAAGGGAGGAGGGGAGAGTTTGTTCTAATCCTTGATTTCTCTAAACGAAAACAGCAAATGCATTTATGAATACACTATAGATATTACCAACAAAAAAAGCACTTACAGGCGATAAAAATTTTTTCGATTTTCACCCTAAACTTTCCCTGGGCCATTTAAGTGATTTTAGAATTTTGTAGAGCTTGCTTTGCTCTATCGAACACTGCCCTAGGTCTGCTAGGAAACAAAAACAATTTGATCCATTCAAATGAGGAGAATTTTGGAACACCTTCAAACATACCTGGGATCACACCCTGACCATTTTCAAAAGTTTCACATTTGATAAACTGTCGAATCGACAATGCCTAGTTTCGAAAAAGGGCCAGAAATTATTCCTTCTTCGATGGAAAAGGTCTCAATACGCGAATTCGTTTGCCATCAAGAAAAGCTCAGAAAACTCAATAACATGCTACAGAAACAGTATCTAGAATGGATAGGTATAGCTAGACATCCGAGGTAATCACCAAGCAAGTTTTACGGCATTTACTCGGAAAAGGAAACACTATCAGACCGAGCACTCAAAAACATTTCAAGAATTTTTGAGCTGTCCTTCACGCTGCAACCTATTACATTTTATCACTTTATATATGCATGGCGTTGTGCTATGTTTGCCCAAAATCTCACAAGATTTCTAGCTGATATTATTCTCAAGGGTTTGAATGCCATTCTAGCAATAAAAGCTTGAATAAAAAAGCCTCACAACATACACCCCCCTCCCATTTTACCCTACAGTGAACAATTTTGATAAGAATCTGCAGCAAGAGTAAAGCAACCAAAGGTCCATCAATCACCATCGATCTTGTGGCTTTGCCATCAGTGTTAAGTGATTTAGAGCCAGACGGATGATCAAAGCTTTGGTCGAGGACAGTTGGTCGCTAGAAACAGGTATTCACGGAAATGCAAGCTAATTGCCCTTTGATTAAAGCCGTTGGGATAGTTGGCTATGAGAAAATGTTTATAAATTTTTAAATAATAGAATTTGTTAAAAAGTAAGGGAAGCTTTCTGAAAAGAAGATGCGTTGATGGCGAAAGGGAAACTCTGCAATCTACTCTTATTTTGGTTGCGAAAATTACAAATCAGTAATATCAACTCAGTAACATGAACGTGTGCTGCTCGATTCATAACCTCATACTTCTTCAGCAAAGCATTGGAAATCCAAGGAAAATAGAGTTCAAGTCACTTACTATCATGGCGAATAAACTCACAACGCAGCTGATTTGGTATGAAAACGATAAGTACTTAGATTTTTTGACATCTTCATAAAAGCACTTGAATTTCTGCTTGAGACCTTAAAACAACTTCAAGCACAATTGCAAGCAAACAGTACCAACAAAAAATTTTTAGTTAATAAAATTAATGATTTTTGTTAGGTAAAAGATTGTAACAGATTGTTTTCTACCATTGTCAAAGACATTGGGAGTTTTCACAAGAAACTTCGTTGCTTTCGTTACACATTGAGCTGTGCACACATGTGTTTGATTACGATTTATTTCTATTTTAAATAATGATTTTGATGATTTGACTCAACTCCATATGTACATGAATACATTTTTGAAAGTCATCTGCACATTTTATTCCGAATGAAAAAACTAGACGTTTCTCTCTAACGTAGTAGGATCTGCAGAATGATATAAACAAAATACAATACCGATCATAATTCGTCAAAAAAGTCGCCGGAGTGCGGCGCACTCCGCCACACTCCGCCGCACTCTAGCGCACTCCGCCGCACTCCGCCACACTCCGCCGCACTCTAGCCTCCGCTGCACTCCGCCACACTCCGCCGCACTCTAGCCTCCGCTGCACTCCGCCACACTCCGCCGCACTCTAGCGCACTCCGCCGCACTCTAGCGCACTCCGCCGCACTCCGCCACACTCCGCCGCACTCTAGCCTCCGCTGCACTCCGCCACACTCCGCGCCACACTCCGCCGCACTCTAGCGCACTCCGCCGCACTCCGCCACACTCCGCCGCACTCTAGCGCACTCCGCTCCAGTCCGGCGACTTTTTTGACGAATTATGAGCGGTATTGTATGTAGAGCAGTCTGTTATATCCCCCTTGTTCTTCCACACTGGTATCGTTGCGCTCTTGTAACAATCGTTGGGCATCTTCTTGCATTCTACAATACCACTCACATAACTTGCAAAATTTCCGTGAATGTCGCGAAATTCCGAAAATTCCGCGAACTTTCCGGAATTTCGCGAAACTCCTGAAAGTTCGCGAAGTTTCGCGAAATTCCAGGAATTTCGCGGAATTTTCGGAATTTTGCGATATTCAGGGAAATTTTGCACATTCTGTGAGCGGTATTGTACTCACTCGACGTGCTAACAACATTTCTTACATTGTTTTGCTGCTGGTGGCACATTGTAGGATAGAATATCTGCCAAATTACACGACTTTCGAATTTGAAGGAGAATTCATGAGAAGGCGATTTTGTAACATCATAATCTGACGAACAATTCAAATAAAGATCTGTGCTAAGCATGGTCCGATAGAGGTTTTCACAAAGTTTTCAACTCACAAAAATTTGCAGACAATTTTCGCAACAGGTAGGGGAAAAGTGCAGGCGAAGTTGCGATCTTGATTGGTTCAGCTACTTCTATCTCACTTTAGCTTTACTGTAAGACTCTCTAGTGCAAAATAAATAGGATTTTTGTAAAGACCGGGACCAAGAACCACTATGAGTGAAGTTTGCGGCCAATCCGAAAACCTCAATATTTTGACCAAATTTTGCGCCGAGGCCAAGAGTGAGGAGCGAGAGGCCAAGAGCGCGCTATATCAATGTGTATTGCTTCTAAGAAGCTGGAAAAAATGTGTAATGTATAAGTATGAGACAGGTGTCTAACGTGATTTTTGGGGGAATTACGGAGCAACTTTGGGGGAGCCAATTTTACGGCCTGAGCTTGCATGTTGGGGGGCTAATAACTCTGCGAATATTACAGCTACGGGGCTGTGGTTTGTTTTATTCGACAGATCTCTGAAAGTATGATTCTTAGAGAGAAAATCGAAGAATAACAAATTTCCATTAAAAGTGCCTAATTGACAGCCGAACTTGGGAAATCTGTCAATAAGGGCGATTTCGGCGCCTTATATCTGTAAGAGTTGCAGGGCTGGGGTGATCTAATGTGGCCATTGACATGTAGTTTTGGTAGCTCTATTTTTCTAGGGGTAGCTTGTGCCTAGAGATTCCCTGTAGGAGGCGCTATATAAAGGCGATAGTGCATATTTTGAATTTTTTCTCCGCGGAGAGTAGAGATGACGGGCTGGGATAGCCATTCTTCAGTTTGTATTCGAGGGAGACACCACATATAATTCGGAGAAAATGTAGGGGCTCCGGCTGTGGGAGCCTATCTATAAACCTTCCCGGACTTTAAAAAAAACTTAAACACGCTATTTTTCCTCTTTCTCCCCCCCTTTCTTTCTTCCCCCTTATTTTTTCCCTCTCTTTATTACCGCTTCGTGTACAGTTTCCCGTGGCCATCTGGACCTGGTTAGGAGGCTGATAAGGGCTAGAGAAGGGGTAAATAGGCT